CAGCGATGTTGATGCCGTTCGTTAATACCAACTTACCAACATTTTCGTCAGTCTCCTGTGAAGTTTAGAAAAGAGAATTCCAGAAAATATTATCTTTTTTAAAAAGTTGCAACGTAAAACCTTAGCAAACAACGTGCTTGCTTTGCAAACACAACTTGAAGAGAAGCCCCTTACCTTCCGGCTCCTTCCAACCACATTGTCGCCTCTGAAGCCCTTCTACGTGGAAACTTGGGAAAGCGGGCTTAAGGAAGTATGAGGGGGTGGAGGTTCCAGTTTATTCCCAGGGCCGGGGTGGGCAGCCAGAACAAATGAAGGGTTTCCCGGATGTCAGCCAGCTCAGCAGAAAGGAGGCCGGGCCTGGTTGGGAGGAAGCTTCCCTTCCCGCACTGAGCATCCTGCCTGGGGCCGAATTCTTTCAATAATAAAGGAAAGTAAGACTTCACGTAAATAAAACAAAACGTCGGTCATCATTCATTTATTTTATTGAAATGGCATGCAAATTACTCGAGGAGACTTAGCAGAAAAGCAGCTCGGTGCAAACGACAGGCAGGCGTTGTCTGGGAGGGCTTCGCGTTCCTTCCAAGCTCTCTGCCTTGCCCACGCTGCACGGGGAGCGGCAGCGCAGGGGGCGCCCAGGGCCTTTGTCCTGGGGGTGGAGCGACAGGGAGCACAAAGCAGGCCCCCAGTGGGGACCTGCTGCTCCCCTCCCAGCTGCTCTGCCAGGCAGACAGCCCCTGAAAAAGGAAAATCCTGCACGGGGTTTAAACCAGGGAGGATCCAGGGTTAGGGGCTGGTGTTTGCCTGCCTGAGCCTGGGCCAGGGGAGAGGCCCCTGGTAGAACTGGCTACTGGGGGTACTGGGCGCCTACTCGGCACCCCTGAATTCCTGACCCACAGAAACTGCCAAGGACAATCCATCACCCGGGATCACCCCCGTCAGGGCCTGAACATTGAGGTGAACGGAGCATCATTTACGCGAGGCCCTCGGCCAGTAAGCACGGACGGAAACACAGGGGTGGCTTCCTGGTGGGAACCCTGGAGCCAAAGAAAACATTCTTCACTGAGCAAACACAGACCAAAGTTGAAAAGAAAAGAGAAGCGAAAAGAACCCCCTCCCCAAAATTCCAAAGCAGCATTAATTAAAGTAAAACTATTGGGAGAAAAAAAATTTCTATCCTATGAGCTATTCGAAATAAAAAACTTCAGAGTCGTAATAGTGACTACTATAATTTTCTGCCATAAAAACATCTATTATAACAGATACGGCAATACAATGAAGTCCTATTGTTCCAGAAACTGTATTATAACTGAAACAGGATAATTATAGAAATACTTGCATGAGATGTGCACGTTCAACAGAACCATTGAAAATTCTTCTTCTCAGAGTGAAAATAAGTGTCCCGAGTACAGAAGAACTCTCCGGCGAGGTCTGAAATGAAAGACAAGGTGAACTTTTTAAAAAATCTTTCATAGCAGCGTAACCTTCCGAAGTCCTGTTGGGGCCATCTGTGACATGTTTCCAAGGGCCCAGACTTTATTTGGAACACTAACATCTATTCGTGGATTTCGAAGTAGGGCGTCTCTGTCTATTCTGCATTCGATAGACAGATTTTAGGGTGAATCTCGGCGCTATCGAGTTCACTCGTAAATTCTAACTTAGAGTTTCTAGCTTTTGAGAACAGTCGACCCCCGAATGTTCTGTAGAAATCCCGTCGAATGTTTGAGGCACGGCTGGTACTGCCGCCCTCCCTGCTTTTTAGTTTACAAAGCACTTTTTGGCTTTTTCCCTCGTTTTTAGTCCTCAAAGTAATCCCAGGTTGTTGAGAGCAGGGACTTCTCATCCTTATTTTGTAATTTAGGAAACTGAGGATTATCTGGTCAGGAACAGGGCCGCGGAATTGTCTGGAAGCCGTGTTTGCGCTGCAAGCACGCTGTTTTACCTGGCTTTGTCTATCTTTTTTTTTGCTGTGGCTTTGGGGAAAGTGATGAGAATTCGGGAGCAGTAAGGAGCCAGAGGGCCAGCAAGCCATCCCTCGTCACCACAACCGACGTTCAATGTCCCCTCCTGGGTCACTTGGCTGAGGGACCGAGAGAGCGCGCCGGGAGCAATAATAATAATAGTGACGGCGATGATAACACACACCCCACACGACAGCAAATATGTAGAGTGGTGCTAAGTGGTGACTAAGGGGACATGATAACCGTCTACAAATATTTGAAGGATGTAAACACCCAGGAAGAAGCTGAATTAATTATTTAAAAGAACAGTGATGAAGCCTAGGACGAGATCATTACCAGTCCCAAAGCCACCTGTCCTTCGACAGCCCGTTCAGAATCGAGCTCTCCCCAGACCAAAGGCGGG